GTTTTGTAAACTGGCTTGAGCTTTTTGTTGAGCTGTTTCTCTCTTGTTTAAAAGACTTTTGTCTTGTGTAGTGGCTGACTTCTGGTTTTTCCAAGAAAATTGCCAAAAAAGGAAATTTTTTAGGAAATTTAGGATCTTTGATAATAGTTTTTATTTTATCCTAATTAGATTATAACAATATGTTTTTCAAATTATTTTTAAAAAATAAGATTTAATAAATAATATAATTAAAAAATTAAATAATAAGTATATATATTTAATTTGCAATTAGACTATAATGACTTGTTTTTATTGAGAAATTGAATTAAAATCTACAAAAGTTTATAGACTATTACAATATGATTAACTTATCTTTATATATAAGTACTTTAAGTTAGATTTTGAAAAACAATATTATATTTCCTTGATAGATTGATTAGAATATTTATTTACTAGAATTATTATCAACAGTTTATTATTGTTGATTGGTTTAAAAATCAACAAATTATTAAGTTAAAAGAAGAAAGTAAAAAATAAAAAAAAAAAGTAAAAAATTTAATGTCTATTAAAAAGATTCAAAAACAAAAATAACTTCTTTTTAAAAGAAATCTGTTTGATTAAAATAGTCTTCTTGCTTCATTTGAATCTTGAAAAAAATCTTTTTTGTTATTATCTATAATATCAAATAAGTCAATTCAACTGATTCTTTATTTAAGTAAGTATCAGATAAAATATTTCAAGGAAATATTTAATCTAACTTTTTTTTATTGAAGCTTTATTACTATCTAAGAAATTTAAATAAATGATAAAAGTTTACAATTTATATTATTCATTACTTAATCTTTTGATATTATAAATATTTTTATTAAGGAACTTGAACTTTTGAAGATGAATATTTCCAGAACCTTTTTTCCAATTATCAATAATATTATTGAAACATATAAATATAATCAATAGGAACTTGTTTATATTTCAAAAACTAATGTGTTTCATGTCAACTAATTACCTTTGGTGAGAATTTGTGTTATTAAAAATTCAAGATCAAACTGAGGTAGGCAAAATTCTTTAGAAAACCATAAAAGTGAAAGTTCCAAAAAAGCCAGGACAATCAAAAAGAAAAAAAATAAACTTTTTAATTGTAACAAAACCTCTATTAAATCAAGATAAATATATATCTCAAACAATTAAAAAAAAAAAAGAATATTTCAATAAGATATAAAGATATATTATTAATCTATCAAAGAAGTAATAAAGGAAAATTCACAACTTTTTCTACTGATCTTCTGACTATACAAAAAAAAGATATTCACAAGAAGTTTTTATACTTTTTTGCTAATAAAGTCTTATTACTTTCTTTAAATCAACTCAAAAAGTTCTTTCAGAACTTTCTCACTTTCCCTTCCTCTTGTTTACAACCTCCTTTGAATAATCTGAACTCTTGTGATCTGCAAAGTTTAGCTTTCATATTTACTATCAATGGCAAGAAAGTTTCTAAAGGAAAAAGAATCAACTATGAAGTATCTTTCACCTTTTAACTATAATAAAGACAACAGAAGTTTTATTCCAGTTAAAGACTTATTTTCTACTCTTCAACTAGGATTGTGGCCTCTTAGAGCTATATTTTTCATAGCTTTCTGAAGAATTTTACCTAGCCCAGCTTGACCCTGAAATTTCAAGTAACACAAATCTCACTAATTTTAATTAAATAACACGAAATACATTGAACAAGATTGATAAACAAGCTCCTATTGGCCACCTCATGTGTTTGAATGTATTTTCTCAGCTTTATAAGAATCTGGGATCCACCATAAGTTATATGTATTGATGTAGGTAAATACAGAACATGCTACCGACACATTATTTAATACAAGAAAGAGCCTGTTTGACCATGGTAAAGGTTACAAGATACTTGATTGATCTTTTCTTAAGTCAGAGCCATTAATTGTATGTTAGGTAGGTTCCAACCTCTATTATCTGGAAAGTCCAAATCAGAGAAAATATAAAGCCATTAAGGATACTTAGTAATAAAGCTTATGTATAAAGTAACCCAGGAAGTTTTCATCCTATCTTTAGAAAATCCTAAGCTGAAAAACTAGAAGGTTAATACCATTACATCAATCAAAACTCGAGTTCAAAAATATCAGTAGTGACATATGAGCTGGCCAGAATGTTTGGAAGATTCTCGTTGATCATTAGTACCAACGGTCACTAGCAGGGTATATTAATCACAAGACTAGATACTGTCCTTCATATAAAGAATTAAATCTGAAACAAGATACACAGATAGATAAGTATATCCATATTTAGATAGAAATGTGTTTAATTGATAATATACTGGAAGACTTTCAAGTCGATCATGTGAACACCAATATACCATCTAGACCTTCTTGGTTACTCCCTCCCCATAAGCCTTAAAACTGTACAGTCTTCTCTTTAACCTCTACCTTATTTCTGCAAAAAACTCAATAGAAGTTTTCCCCAAACTTTTTCACAAGGGGAATTTGAACAAGACAGACATATGCCAAAAAATAAGACCAATACATTTTATATGACTATTAAATTTTTCTTTTATTTCTTTTATTTTCATTTATGACACTAGTACACTCTAGGGATGCTGACTTTTCCTGATTTTTCTTTGGAAAAAGAAAGGACAATAAGCCTCAAAGTAGCTTTAGAATAACTTTAGCTTATCATTATCATTATCTTTCCTAAATATACATCCATGTATTCATGCTTTGTGCAATATAAACTTGTAATTTGGGATTCAATAAAGTTAGACATGAGCCAGTCAAAAAAAAAAAAAAAAAAAAATCAGGGAAGTAAAAATTGTTTCTTAGAGTATCTAATTTAAACTTTGATTTGTATTCAAACTAGCTTAGTAAACTTTTCATATTTTTTAAGTAATGTAGTTCAACTAATAATGTGTAAAGACAAGTTATCTACACGTGAAAGTCTATACAATATTGTAAATGTTTTTAAAAAAAAGAAGAAAACATAATATTGTTATACTGTAAATTATTTCTCACGAAAAAATGAATATGCATAAGTTACAATGACATTTGGACTGCGGGTAACCTATCGTGCAACGATAACATAACCCGCAGTGCAGGTTCCGGAAAATCATTAGTTATGCAGTATGTCAAAATAGCAATAACTGATTGATCTACAAAAAAATAACACTTTGATTTTTGATGCCCGATCAAATTAATATTAAAACCTTAGTAATAAATAATAGTCAATTCAAATCAACAAATGAACCAAAAACTCTCGCACGTAACAATATTTTAATTCTTCCCCTTCTTCTGTGTGCAAATCACTTTGTTGACACCATTAATAAATTTGGTACTCGAGAACCAGATTATAGTTATATTTTCCCTTTATTTCCTCAAATAACAAATCAAAATCTCCCAGGAAAAGAAAAACATGAACTTATCAAGACCCTCTACCTCTTCTTCTGTCGTTGATGCACCTGGCTTACTTTATGCTGGTTTTAATCAGGACTTTGGATGTTTCGCTGCGGGGTTAGACAGTGGATTTAGAATATATAATTGCGATCCTTTGAAAGAAAAAATGCGTAAAGGTTGGTGTATTCTTTCGCTACAGTATACACATTTACTCATGTTTAAACTTTTCTCCCGATCCTGCGTTAACACTCATTTGAAATCCGCCTTATATACAGATTTCGACGACGGTGGAATAGCAATCGTTGAGATGTTGTTTCGATGTAATTATCTTGCTCTTGTAGGCGGTGGAAAGAATCCAAAATATCCACCGAACAAAGTTATTATATGGGACGACTTGAAAAACAAAGGGATTGTAGAATTAGAATTCAGAAGCGAAGTAAAGAATGTAAAGTTGCGAAGGGATAAGTAAGAAGCTGTCTGCATTTTTATTCGTCACAACTTTATTCAATATTTTAATCTGCGTTGTATTAACTCGTCAAATGTAGGTTTGTTGTTATCTTATCGAATAAAGTTTTTGTCTACTTATTCAGTGAAGATCCGGTGAAACTTCATACGTTTGAGACGATAGACAATGAAAAAGGTAAATATAACTTTTTTATTATTATAAGGTGGTTATTTAAAGACGATTCTCCTATTTCACCTTTTATTAATTTGTGGCAGGGTTGGTTGCTCTTTCGTCGTCACCAAACCACGCCATATTGGCGTTCCCGGGTCGACAAAAAGGTCACATCCAAATCGTAGACCTCAATGCCTCTCATGCTACCACCGCTATAACAAGTAATAACAATGATTTATTATTTTTTTTTAAAAAAAAATTTGTCTTTATCATTTCCAAATCATAGACATTCTTTCTCTCTATCAGGTCTCAATGAACAGCAACAATATTTTAATAAAAGACTAAGTGTCTCAAATAACTCTAAAATAATAGGTTCTGGTACTCCAAATACAAATGGGAACATGACAGTGATGACCACAAATGTTAGCATTATCCCAGCACACATGGGAAAGTTGAGTTGTCTTTCCGTGAATGCTGATGGTAGTAAATGTGCAAGTGCTAGTGAAAAAGTATGTTCAATATCTTTATTCGCTTGTGTCATATGAATTATCTCCTTATACATGTATCGCATATTATTAGGGCACGCTAATAAGAGTGTTTGATACTTCTTCTGGAAAGTTATTGAACGAACTACGACGTGGTGTAGATCGCGCAGAAATTTATAGGTTTTTATTGGGCCAATCAACTTAGTGTTTATTTTTATTATTATCATTATTTAAAAATATAATTTTTGTAGTATCGCGTTTAACCAAGATTCAACGCGTTTATGTGTATCATCTGATAAAGGAACAGTGCATATTTTTAATTTGGATGCTACATTGAACAATGGAGTAAGTCATTCACCGAATAATGGGGGCCCTTATTATGGCGAAGTTGTTGTCAAGTAAGTGCTGGTCATAATAATAGAATTATTATTACCATTGTCGTTTCTATGATTATTTATATTTATGTATTTTTTAATTCAAACAACAGTTCAAGCATTCCATCTCCAAGCGGAAATCGACAATCGAGGTAATATTTATTATACCTATACAAAAAGAGAAATGAGGTTAACATTATTAAATTATTATCATTCACAGACAATTTTCTTCATAATTCAATTTGGTATTTAGTTTATCTTTTATAAAAGACCTACTTCCAAAATATTTTTCGTCAGAGTGGTCTTTTGCACACTTCAAAGTGATGGCTGATTGTCGATGCATTTGTGGCTTTGGACAAGAAAAAGATTCTGTAATCGGTTGGTGTATAACGATGTTGCCTATTACCCTAAAATTCGACTTTTCATGTTAATTTCGCCTCTATTATATAGTAATTTGCGCAGATGGAAGCGTATACAAGTCTACGTTTGACCCACGCAAAGGTGGCGAATGTGAGCGAGAATATTACGACAAATTTTTAAAGGATCAAGATGATTAAACTTCAATTTATCGTTGATATGCTGTATATTGCGTGTTAATTATTTCATGCTAGGGAATACAGGTGCTTTTTTCCCTGCTGGTTTAATGCTGTTTCCAAATGCGTTTGATATTGTTTCACGAGTTCCCTCTAATATGCACTTTGGATTCAAAATGCTTGGATTTTTCTTACTGGAAGATTGGCATTCTCGGAGAAAACCATTAATATTGGTGTCTTTGTTTTTATTGCCTTATTGTTTCTTTTTATAATTTACAATCAATTCCCTTCTCTCATTTATTATATATATGTGTATATGTATTATATATTTTTTCGATTTTTCTTTAAGACAGCAGGCTTATTGGTATAATTTTCGACGTAATGTCTAATATATTCGAGGTTGAGAATCCACGAACAATGTTTATAATTGACATTAAATATATTATTTTTTGCAATTTTTCTTTTCGGATTGAACTTTTGTAAATACAATTATTAAAATACTAAACTTTATTAAGATTGCAATATTTGATATAATTGAAAAGTTGACTAATTTGGATTTTAAATAAAAAGTATTAATAATTTTTGCGGAGTATTATCAAAAAATTTTTTACAAAAAATGTTATTGGAATAATACACGGATATACAGTATACTGTATTAAATTTATATCTATAATCTTGTATAGACTTTTATAGCTAACTCATAATTATATATTATTAATTAAAGAACCATATTACTAAACTAGTTTGAACTAAACAAAATTATACTTTTCTAATAGTTTAGTACTTGATCTTTATTTATTAAAATTATTATCAACATTTTATTACTATAGATTAATTTAAAAAAATAATAAATTGCTAATATAGTAAATTGAAAAAAAGAAAAAAAAAACAATTTAAAACTTATAAAAAGGTTTTTATTCGATTAAATAATTTTTTTAAAAGATATCTAGCTAATTAAAATATTTTTTAGCTTCAAACTATTTAAAAAAACTTATCTATTAATCATAAAAACTATATATTATATTATCTAAAAATTAATTATTAAGGTTTTTTTAAATAAAAGATTTTATTTATCTTTTCTATATAAAATTGAACTTATAATTTAATTGAATAGTAATATCAATAGTATTTTAACTTTATATAATTGAAATAAAAACTTGAAATCTTTAATTTTTTTTTTAAAAAAATGTTTTTTTTATTATCTAAAAAACTTAATAAAGATAAAAATATTATATTATATATTTATTAATTATTTTTTATTATTATAATTAAATATTTTTCTTAAAAATTTGCTTAATTAAAAAAATTTTTTATATAGATTTTTTTTTATATAATTAATATATTATCAAAATATATAGTTATAAATAATAAAAAGATCTATGGATCAATAACACAGTAGTAGTGCTTCCAAGTTACAATCATAAGATCCAGAATTCAATACTATATAAGAATCAAGTAAGAAAAATAATCAAGTTATACAAGAATAGAACTTTTGATTTTCCTATTAATTAATAGACTGAAATAGATTTATTACGAGAATTACATAAAGAAAGGCCTCTAATTTAATTACACAATTACACTCAAACATCTTTCCTGAATTAGATAGAAAATAAAAATTCCAGGATCTCACTTTTAGAACTACTATAACTATCTGAACATATACATAATCTCTTTACCTTGACAATCTCCAGAACCTACTCTTTTAACCCAAGATATTTCAATCTAATGTTTCACTTAATTGAAAGTTAGTTAATAGAAACTGACCTGATGCCATAAATTATAATAAAGAAAGTGATGTGTTCTCTTTCAAGGTCTAAGTAAATAATATCTAGGAGTATTAGAGGGTATACAATCCTATCAGGTATATACTATATGTGAAAAGTACTAATTTAATATTTATTATTAAACTGTAACTTATTATTAACTAGCCTAGCATCACTATTGATACCTATGTATTAACTATTTGATTTCTAGTTAGGTATGCCTATTTATAGAATAATAATAAATCTAACTAAAACAAACTGTGATAGATTATTATTAATCTACATATATATAAAAATATTATATATAGCTTGTATAGGATAATTGATATCATGTTAAAAGAATTCACTTTCTTCAAAAAGTTAAGTTAATTCTTAATAAAGAACTTATATTCAATACTAGTTGTAATAATTAAAATATATATATATATTAAGTTCAATTATTAACTAGAAAAATTTAATATTATATTAGATTATGTCTTAATTAAAAAACAAATAATTTAGAGTATATAATTATTAATTCTTAAATTATTAAACAATCAATCAAAACTTATATTAAAAAATTTAAAAAAGAAAAATACAAACTTTGAAGATATAGATCCAAAATAAATAAAAAAATATTAATCTAAACTATAAATAAAAAAATTTGATATCTTCTACTAATTAAAAAGATTTCAATAAAAAATTTGAAAAAATTTTAAATAATTTTTTAAACAAAAAACTTTTAATTCTTTGTTTATTAGTTATAAAATATTTAAAAATCTAAAATTAAAAGTAAATTCCTTTCTATCTAATTTTTTAATATACTGTAATTATAAAATTATAAATTAAAAAATATTAGATTTATTATTTTATTAAAAATAACAAATAAATATTTTATTAAAATAATAATCAAATATTTAATAATAATATATAAGAAAATAATATTTTATAATAACTTAATTTTGTTAATCTAAAATATAAAAATATAATTAAATCTATTTATTCTTTAAACAATATTTATGAAAAAACAAAAAAAAAAAATAAATCATAAATTCCCTTTTAAAATACAACTAGAATCTATAATATGATTAGTAAGCAAATGAAAAACTCTTTTCATTAATCCCTAATTTTTCAAAAAAATTTTTTTTTTGGTAATTTTTTGAGAAGCAAGAGAAACCAGCCAAAAAACAAGAGAAATCACCTTCACAACCAAACAACTTACAAAAACAAGTTCAAGAACTCTTTACAGAGTGCAGAAAAGATAAGTTTTACAAAAATTATTAACTTCTATTATATAAATTTTTTCTTTTAGAAAGAAAAAAACAACAAGAAAAACTGAATCATAATAAGCTCTTGGAAACCCAACATCAACCTTACAAAGCTCCTAGCCAGGCCAGTGCAAGTTAACATCTTTCTAGATACCAAGAGAAGCTTTACAAGCAATAACTCAAACTGATAAATCAGTTCAAGTCCAAATACTCATAAAACCCAGAGAGACA